ACTCAGTCACGGTCAGAGAAACAGGACTACACTGGAAAACAGGCCGATCTCCAACATCTTCAACATCTTCGATCTTCTCATCAGGAAGCCGCAAGTTTCCAGTTTATAACAAATTTCCAGGCTGTTTTTACTGGAGTTATTAAATGACCAGTCTACCGTAGAAGATCTACTAAGTCTACCTTACTAGATCTATCTGATGCCTTCGTTGTGTTTTAATAGTCCTGAGCTCTGAGGCCTCGTCAGAAACTTTCCTTTGTTATGCAATCTGTTCATTAAGCTGATTTCAGCCCCGTAGACATGGAAGCTTCCTGCTGCCATGGCAACCGGTCATTGGTTATTAAAGACGTTGCAGAAATAAGAGGGAGTGAAAGAGAAGCAGAGGATCCCTGGATACAGAAATGTATTTGTTGATTTATGGATTTTTTAAAGGATCACTACGGTAGATAGGAACAAACTACTAATAGATAATAAATAACTTCAAATGGAAATATCTTTATCGTCTCGCCATGGAGAAATCCACCCTCTGCATTTAACCCCTCCCCTTGGGGAGCAGGGGGCTGCCATTGTGCGGCACCCGGGGAGCAGTGTGTGGGGGTCTTGCTAGTTCATCATCAGTGAACTATTGATCTATTGAGTTTTTCAATAGATCCTGGGCTATCCAAGCGTGTGGATGGCCCCGGGTTTGAGGATGGGCCCCGGGTGTGAGGATGGCCCCCGGGTGTGAGGATAGCCCCCGGGTGTGAGGATAGCCCCCGGGTGTGAGGATGGCCCCCGGGTGTGAGGATGGCCCTGGGTGTGAGGATGGCCCCGGGTGTGAGGATGGCCCCCGGGTTTGAGGATGGCCCCCGGGTGTGAGGATAGCCCCCGGGTGTGAGGATGGCCCTGGGTGTGAGGATAGCCCCCGGGTGTGAGGATGGCCCCCGGGTTTGAGGATGGCCCCCGGGTGTGAGGATAGCCCCCGGGTGTGAGGATGGCCCCCGGGTTTGAGGATTGGCCCCGGGTGTGAGGATAGCCCCCGGGTGTGAGGATAGCCCCCGGGTGTGAGGATGGCCCCCGGGTGTGAGGATGGTCCCGGGTGTGAGGATGGCCCCCGGGTGTGAGGATGGCCCCGGGTGTGAGGATGGCGGTCTGTGTCTGACAGGATCAAGCAGCTCCTGGATCGGACTAAAAGCACGTTGGACCAAAATAAATTATAAATCTACTTTGTTGGGTTAGTTAACGACCAGAAGGAGTTTTTATAGATCTCTGTTTTCTCTTCTGTTGATGAAGTTGCTCAGTTTGACTGAGAAAGCCTCATGTTAGAGGAGGAGCTTTAAAAGAAATCAAGCAGGCAGGGAGGCTCAGCAGAGATCTCATCTTACAGGCATTTCCTCCTCAGCCGCTTCCTGTTTAGGAGCGGTGGTCTGGAAGCCCTGCAGAGGCCCAGCCTGCTCTAAGGACTGGTATGGGGCCATGGGGTGCTTATCAGGGTGCTTTGATTGCTGGGGGCTGGTTCATTGACCCTGTCTGTGACCTCGTGCATCAGGCTGTTTTACAGCTGAGGGTTCATCACTCTCATCATCTGCTGCAATCTTCTGCTCTGAGTCTGCAGCTGTGAGCATGGCGTTCAAGCAATGAGGAAAAGAAGCAGATTTACTGAGCTGCACAACATGACGCTCATTTATAGACAAAGCTGGTAAAAAAAGGTTTGGATGAAGCTAATTATTTAGATGTTTTTTTTTGTTGTTGTTGTTGTTTAAATACCAACAGATGATAATGAAAATGAGATTAAATTAAACTAAACTATAAACTATATTTTTAAAATGTAAGGAGGAGAAATTAGAA